AGTGTACCACGAGGCAAAAGATTTGCGATGTCATCTTTTAAACCGCGCACAAACAAGCAACGAATTTCCATACGCATGCGACAAACGAAATGACGTGACTGAAAACAAGCAGCCTAAACGATATCTCCTACTTCCGTGATTTTTTTGCATTAACATTTGCACTGCAGGACACCGTTTTGGAACACACGCACATTCACAAATTCAGGAGTGATAAATATTTCCAAAGTGGAGATTATCAAAAGCAAGATGATTTTAACAATCATTAATGATTAAGAAAACACTGCATTATTCACAATGGAATAGAGAAGAAAGAGATTTGGCATTTGGCAGTTTCGTTTGCAACATTTGCACAAAGCCGACACTCGCTCGCCATGATGGACGCATAAACATTCAGTTATGGAGCGAAACGTAACGGCCATCGTGTTTGAAAGAACATCCAGTGCCAATATGGCTTCATTTTCACAAAACTTTCGTTTAGAGTTTGGAAGTAGTCATATTTAGTGTTACCACTGCCACCGAATCTGTGAAGCACTCCATGTTCCGTGTCGTATAAACTTGAAAATGTGGATGACTGCGTGCCTTCAGGAACACCGGTCTGATTGTGTGCTGCCACTTCTTCAACTTTGGCTTCAGATGTGTTCATTCCTTATTTTATCTTCGTGTAAAACTGATGTTGCTTCGTTAATTATTTGCCATGGAAGAGGAAGGATATGTCGTTGACGGGGGTGGAACTGCGGTCAAGTCTAAATGACCTGAACCAATGACAAAGACTAGCTGTTTGTCTCGATTCACGATGGTTTTGCATGGAATGCAACACCGCCAGTGAACAACTTGTTCTGGAGATCATGCAATTCCATCTGCAAGGACTTATCACCATCCAGCTCACAAAAGTAGAAAACAGAGGAGATCTGGGCATTATGACTATGAACTACCATCTTCCTGTAAAGAAAAACACATGAAAGCATGGCATAGGTTGGTGCAAAATAGAATCTGCAGCCCACTAAATGTTCGAAGTGCAGAAGCATTAAGCTTTACTGAATATGAGGCATGACCAAAACCTACTTTGTTGGTACGCGTCTCTTATTTACTGGCGGTGTCCACATTGGCCTTTTGTTTAGTGATTGACGTGGCAAAATCAAATGATGTAAATAGCCCAGAAAGTAAAGTTTCACCAACCCCATGGGTGGATGACGTGAAAGATGTAGCCCATGATAGTATAACATTTACCAAATTAAATACTTAGTTACTAAATTTCGCCTCAAGGACTAATAGTGAATTAAATGGTAATGGTTTTGAATTTCAGGAGGACAAAGCCGACTGATTTCGGAATTGGATTCAAGCAAACCACCACCAGGCAAACCACGTCACCTACCCTGTTTGCCAAAGCAATAACATCAGAGATAGCGTCGTGCTCATCGTTCGTCTCTGGTTCGCTTTTCACACAAACCACCTGCGTCACGTCCTCCTCATCATTACCGGCACCACCGTCGTTCCTATCATCCCCTTACGCATCAACTAAAAGGCACCCGTGAGCCCTTGCTCATTCGCACCATACCCTGTTTCGCTCAAACCGTTCCTCATTCACAGGCAGTCCCGCCAGCACTCACGTCTTCTTCTGTGCCAAAAGCTCTCTCTTCTCCAGGTATCCGAATGAGTTGTTCGCCTAATCGAAATTCGGATAGTCGATGAGGTAGTGGATGGCATTTACCATATCCAGAAGGCTGCAGCAGCTGCAAGTTAAGTGTTTGTAATGGCACTTTGAATACCTTATTATAGCCAACATGACACCAAACAACAGACCATCAGTTACATGACTTTCCGCTAATTATATTTGTCAGTGTTTTGCTCGAATAATCTTGCTCAAAGCATGTCGGCAGCATTTTACAAATTTCACCGCCAAATACCATCTCTGTTACCGTACACAGGGACCTCTTCTTTTACACTCGTTTAAACATGCGCTGCATAGTGGTGGTCAGGAAACTGTATTCTAGTGGTTCTGCATTCATTTTCATGGAGTAAGTTAAGCCGTACCTCGGCCATTCATTGATGAGGTTGAGGCAAGCACTCCCCGTTGCGTTGTCTTTGTTAGGATGAAAGATGGGTGAGGTGAACTGTACATCTGGAGCGTCTCTTGGACACGTCATAGAGCACTAATTAATCACGTGCATCAAAACATGCTTTAGCGTTTCGCTTATTAATACCAATTGCAAATGAAGATAAAGGCTGCAACTTCGAACCTAATGGTCTTGGTAATTTCCTTTGGTGAGTCATAATGAGGTGATTATTAACCGGACGTTAACGTCAGTAGACCGATTAATTCCTTGCATTTCCATGAGGTTTTAAGTGAATAAATCACACATAAATTCAGTGAAGGTGTTGTTCAATCCATCCATGGAAAGCAATAAGCATTATGACAAGATTATTTTCAATGGGGGGCCCAAAATTATTCAACCACGCACAAGGCTTTCTTGACACCCAAGGAGTCATTTAATCCCACAAACGTTAACGCATGACTTTGTCTGCTCAAAGGAAGCAACGTGCGTCCATCTTGTGAGAGTCGAGTTAAAAAGAAATGCTCAAATCATTGCAGTGCCCACTGCGTTTCATCATGTTTTACGCTGGTCGTATCCGAACCCACACCGACTACCTCCTACTGCTCAAAACACCACTTTCGAACAACGAACAGTATTTCATCGTAATTCAACTTCTTTTCTTTCCCTGCTATCGGCTTTGCTAAAAAAAGAGCGTAGAGACAAATAACAAGTGTTTAACAGTCGTGAATGTAAAGAAATTGCAAGATATTTTATCAGCTGACGAGGAGGCGAATTAAAGCAAATGCACACTTAGATGATCACTGGATATTTTTAGCACAGTCAAAAGCACCACAGGACAAACCGGAGTCGAAATAGTCGTCGACTGTGAAATGGGACACACAAGTACA